ACGTCTCCAATGAGTTTGGTTGGCACCCTGGTTGATCTGGAAGTACGTTACCAGTTATTTGGGGCCTTCAGGGGGGAAAATGGGCCGAAAAATGGGCCGAAAAGGGGCATTTTCGGGTGTTTTCAAATTTGAGATTTCAAAGCCAGATTTTCGGCTTTAGTTGGCTGGGACATGCCCAAATTGGTGTGGGTGAGTTGCATAGAGGTAGTACAAGTGTGATCCGTTGCAGAAATCCGGGTTCCCAAGATTCAAAATGACTTGAAAAGATTTTGTAAAAAATTGGAGACATTTTGGAATCCATGGGAATTTTTTGGAGACATCCATATTTCGCCCTAAAACGTCTCCAATGAGTTTGGTTGGCACCCTGGTTGATCTGGAAGTACGTTACCAGTTATTTGGGGCCTTCAGGGGGGAAAATGGGCCGAAAAATGGGCCGAAAAGGGGCATTTTCGGGTGTTTTCAAATTTGAGATTTCAAAGCCAGATTTTCGGCTTTAGTTGGCTGGGACATGCCCAAATTGGTGTGGGTGAGTTGCATAGAGGTAGTACAAGTGTGATCCGTTGCAGAAATCCGGGTTCCCAAGATTCAAAATGACTTGAAAAGATTTTGTAAAAAATTGGAGACATTTTGGAATCCATGGGAATTTTTTGGAGACATCCATATTTCGCCCTAAAACGTCTCCAATGAGTTTGGTTGGCACCCTGGTTGATCTGGAAGTACGTTACCAGTTATTTGGGGCCTTCAGGGGGGAAAATGGGCCGAAAAATGGGCCGAAAAGGGGCATTTTCGGGTGTTTTCAAATTTGAGATTTCAAAGCCAGATTTTCGGCTTTAGTTGGCTGGGACATGCCCAAATTGGTGTGGGTGAGTTGCATAGAGGTAGTACAAGTGTGATCCGTTGCAGAAATCCGGGTTCCCAAGATTCAAAATGACTTGAAAAGATTTTGTAAAAAATTGGAGACATTTTGGAATCCATGGGAATTTTTTGGAGACATCCATATTTCGCCCTAAAACGTCTCCAATGAGTTTGGTTGGCACCCTGGTTGATCTGGAAGTACGTTACCAGTTATTTGGGGCCTTCAGGGGGGAAAATGGGCCGAAAAATGGGCCGAAAAGGGGCATTTTCGGGTGTTTTCAAATTTGAGATTTCAAAGCCAGATTTTCGGCTTTAGTTGGCTGGGACATGCCCAAATTGGTGTGGGTGAGTTGCATAGAGGTAGTACAAGTGTGATCCGTTGCAGAAATCCGGGTTCCCAAGATTCAAAATGACTTGAAAAGATTTTGTAAAAAATTGGAGACATTTTGGAATCCATGGGAATTTTTTGGAGACATCCATATTTCGCCCTAAAACGTCTCCAATGAGTTTGGTTGGCACCCTGGTTGATCTGGAAGTACGTTACCAGTTATTTGGGGCCTTCAGGGGGGAAAATGCTCCTTTTCGGCCCATTTTTCGGCCCATTTTCCCCCCTGAAGGCCCCAAATAACTGGTAACGTACTTCCAGATCAACCAGGGTGCCAACCAAACTCATTGAAGACGTTTTAGGGCGAAATATGGATGTCTCCAAAAAATTCCCATGGATTCCAAAATGTCTCCAATTTTTTACAAAATCTTTTCAAGTCATTTTGAATCTTGGGAACCCGGATTTCTGCAACGGATCACACTTGTACTACCTCTATGCAACTCACCCACACCAATTTGGGCATGTCCCAGCCAACTAAAGCCGAAAATCTGGCTTTAAAATCTCAAATTTGAAAACACCCGAAAATGCCCCTTTTCGGCCCATTTTTCGGCCCATTTTCCCCCCTGAAGGCCCCAAATAACTGGTAACGTACTTCCAGATCAACCAGGGTGCCAACCAAACTCATTGGAGACGTTTTAGGGCGAAATATGGATGTCTCCAAAAAATTCCCATGGATTCCAAAATGTCTCCAATTTTTTACAAAATCTTTTCAAGTCATTTTGAATCTTGGGAACCCGGATTTCTGCAACGGATCACACTTGTACTACCTCTATGCAACTCACCCACACCAATTTGGGCATGTCCCAGCCAACTAAAGCCGAAAATCTGGCTTTGAAATCTCAAATTTGAAAACACCCGAAAATGCCCCTTTTCGGCCCATTTTTCGGCCCATTTTCCCCCCTGAAGGCCCCAAATAACTGGTAACGTACTTCCAGATCAACCAGGGTGCCAACCAAACTCATTGGAGACGTTTTAGGGCGAAATATGGATGTCTCCAAAAAATTCCCATGGATTCCAAAATGTCTCCAATTTTTTACAAAATCTTTTCAAGTCATTTTGAATCTTGGGAACCCGGATTTCTGCAACGGATCACACTTGTACTACCTCTATGCAACTCACCCACACCAATTTGGGCATGTCCCAGCCAACTAAAGCCGAAAATCTGGCTTTGAAATCTCAAATTTGAAAACACCCGAAAATGCCCCTTTTCGGCCCATTTTTCGGCCCATTTTCCCCCCTGAAGGCCCCAAATAACTGGTAACGTACTTCCAGATCAACCAGGGTGCCAACCAAACTCATTGGAGACGTTTTAGGGCGAAATATGGATGTCTCCAAAAAATTCCCATGGATTCCAAAATGTCTCCAATTTTTTACAAAATCTTTTCAAGTCATTTTGAATCTTGGGAACCCGGATTTCTGCAACGGATCACACTTGTACTACCTCTATGCAACTCACCCACACCAATTTGGGCATGTCCCAGCCAACTAAAGCCGAAAATCTGGCTTTGAAATCTCAAATTTGAAAACACCCGAAAATGCCCCTTTTCGGCCCATTTTTCGGCCCATTTTCCCCCCTGAAGGCCCCAAATAACTGGTAACGTACTTCCAGATCAACCAGGGTGCCAACCAAACTCATTGGAGACGTTTTAGGGCGAAATATGGATGTCTCCAAAAAATTCCCATGGATTCCAAAATGTCTCCAATTTTTTACAAAATCTTTTCAAGTCATTTTGAATCTTGGGAACCCGGATTTCTGCAACGGATCACACTTGTACTACCTCTATGCAACTCACCCACACCAATTTGGGCATGTCCCAGCCAACTAAAGCCGAAAATCTGGCTTTGAAATCTCAAATTTGAAAACACCCGAAAATGCCCCTTTTCGGCCCATTTTTCGGCCCATTTTCCCCCCTGAAGGCCCCAAATAACTGGTAACGTACTTCCAGATCAACCAGGGTGCCAACCAAACTCATTGGAGACGTTTTAGGGCGAAATATGGATGTCTCCAAAAAATTCCCATGGATTCCAAAATGTCTCCAATTTTTTACAAAATCTTTTCAAGTCATTTTGAATCTTGGGAACCCGGATTTCTGCAACGGATCACACTTGTACTACCTCTATGCAACTCACCCACACCAATTTGGGCATGTCCCAGCCAACTAAAGCCGAAAATCTGGCTTTGAAATCTCAAATTTGAAAACACCCGAAAATGCCCCTTTTCGGCCCATTTTTCGGCCCATTTTCCCCCCTGAAGGCCCCAAATAACTGGTAACGTACTTCCAGATCAACCAGGGTGCCAACCAAACTCATTGGAGACGTTTTAGGGCGAAATATGGATGTCTCCAAAAAATTCCCATGGATTCCAAAATGTCTCCAATTTTTTACAAAATCTTTTCAAGTCAATTTGAATCTTGGGAACCCGGATTTCTGCAACGGATCACACTTGTACTACCTCTATGCAACTCACCCACACCAATTTGGGCATGTCCCAGCCAACTAAAGCCGAAAATCTGGCTTTGAAATCTCAAATTTGAAAACACCCGAAAATGCCCCTTTTCGGCCCATTTTTCGGCCCATTTTCCCCCCTGAAGGCCCCAAATAACTGGTAACGTACTTCCAGATCAACCAGGGTGCCAACCAAACTCATTGGAGACGTTTTAGGGCGAAATATGGATGTCTCCAAAAAATTCCCATGGATTCCAAAATGTCTCCAATTTTTTACAAAATCTTTTCAAGTCATTTTGAATCTTGGGAACCCGGATTTCTGCAACGGATCACACTTGTACTACCTCTATGCAACTCACCCACACCAATTTGGGCATGTCCCAGCCAACTAAAGCCGAAAATCTGGCTTTGAAATCTCAAATTTGAAAACACCCGAAAATGCCCCTTTTCGGCCCATTTTTCGGCCCATTTTCCCCCCTGAAGGCCCCAAATAACTGGTAACGTACTTCCAGATCAACCAGGGTGCCAACCAAACTCATTGGAGACGTTTTAGGGCGAAATATGGATGTCTCCAAAAAATTCCCATGGATTCCAAAATGTCTCCAATTTTTTACAAAATCTTTTCAAGTCATTTTGAATCTTGGGAACCCGGATTTCTGCAACGGATCACACTTGTACTACCTCTATGCAACTCACCCACACCAATTTGGGCATGTCCCAGCCAACTAAAGCCGAAAATCTGGCTTTGAAATCTCAAATTTGAAAACACCCGAAAATGCCCCTTTTCGGCCCATTTTCCCCCCTGAAGGCCCCAAATAACTGGTAACGTACTTCCAGATCAACCAGGGTGCAAACCAAACTCATACCAGGTTGTCCTCCCTGGTCTTCTTTCTTTTTATCTTGGAAATCCAGTTCCCAACGATGTTTTTCAATTAATTTCAGAATTTTAATTTTTGGCGTATTTTACCTTCACCATCTTTTTTCACCGGTTCAAAACACTTTCATATCATATTAGAACTGATAACTTGTAAGATGGATCAGTTTTAGGCTGTTTTGGGTGAAATCTGAAATTGAGAAAATGTCTCCATTTTGAGGAATCATTATATGGTACGACGTGATTCGGCTGGCGCGAAATAATTAGCATTATAAAAAAAACCTCTCTGTACGTCCTTTCTAAAACATAAACATAGCGCGCACATGTTGTAGTGCGCGCACATGTGGTAGTCATATTTCCTCACAAGTTCATACCCAGTAAATGGTATTAAGAACTTGGGCTTCTACACTTTATTTCTGACATTAGCTTATATCGTTTCAGAAGACAGATGAACTCCACAGTGATATTGAAGTGATCAGCAATCCCCCATCAGAATCGGATCCTGTCGTCAACATGGAGGACGTGCTAAAGCAGCCCCCTCGCCTGCTTTACTCTGAAGTTGTACAGAAACCACCAGTTTTCGAGTCAGACATTGAGTTCGTGCCGGAACCTTTAACTCCAGAACTTGAGTTTGACGACGAGGAGTATCTGAATGAAGTGTTGAAAGCTGCCAAAGTAAGCTCAGAATCGTCGTCTGAGTCGGATGATGAAACATGTTGCTTTCCAGCCAATATTCACGAGATGAATCCAGCTATGACTGACGAGGAGATGGAAGAGAAAGAAGTTGTTCTGGAGGTCAATTTGACGCTGCTCTCATTCACTATAATAGTGGGGGTGTCTGGAATGTCAGGCTTCCTGTTGGGTGGTATCTATTCTGCTGTGCTCACTAACAATATTACTCACACAACTGACCTTGCTGAATATCCTGGCATCCTGCCGGTATGTCTAAATATTACCTTCTTTAAAGCTCCCTAGTGGGGGGGGGGGGGGGGGGGCTGAATATTAAGTACCTTCTTTAAAGCTCCCTAGTGGGGGGGGGGGGGCTGAATATTAAGTACCTTCTTTAAAGCTCCCTAGTGGGGGGGGTGGTCTGTCTAAATATTAAATACCTTCTTTAAAGCTCCCTAGTGGGGGGGGGGGGGGGGGGCTGAATATTAAGTACCTTCTTTAAAGCTCCCTAGTGGGGGGGGGGGATATTAAGTACCTTCTTTAAAGCTCCCTAGTGGGGGGGGGGGGGGGAATATTAAGTACCTTCTTTAAAGCTCCCTAGTGGGGGGGGGGGGGTATGTCTAAATATTAAATACCTTCTTTAAAGCTCCCTAGTGGGGGGGGGGGGGGCTGAATATTAAGTACCTTCTTTAAAGCTCCCTAGTTGGGGGGGGGGGAATATTAAGTACCTTCTTTAAAGCTCCCTAGTTGGGGGGGGGGAATATTAAGTACCTTCTTTAAAGCTCCCTAGTGGGGGGGGGGGGGGGCCGGGGGGGGGGGGGGGGTATGTCTAAATATTAAATACCTTCTTTAAAGCTCCCTAGTGGGGGGGGGGCTGAATATTAAGTACCTTCTTTAAAGCTCCCTAGTGGGGGGGTATGTCTAAATATTAAATACCTTCTTTAAAGCTCCCTAGTGGGGGGGGGGGCTGAATATTAAGTACCTTCTTTAAAGCTCCCTAGTGGGGGGGGGGGGGCTGAATATTAAGTACCTTCTTTAAAGCTCCCTAGTGGGGGGGGGGGGGGGTATGTCTAAATATTAAGTACCTTCTTTAAAGCTCCCTAGTGGGGGGGGGCTGAATATTAAGTACCTTCTTTAAAGCTCCCTAGTGGGGGGGGGGGGGGGGCTGAATATTAAGTACCTTCTTTAAAGCTCCCTAGTGGGGGGGGGGGTATGTCTAAATATTAAGTACCTTCTTTAAAGCTCCCTAGTGGGGTGGGGGGGTCGCACGCATAGCAGCTACCATGTTCAGTGTTGGGGGGGGGGGGGTGGTCGCACGCATAGAAGCTACCATGTTCAGTGGTTGACAAATAGGGTTTCGAATAGCATAAGAGGTGGGGGGGGGACAAGGGGTATTTTTTGTGAAACTTGATTTTGAGATAGCAGTTGACAAACAAACTAGGACCGTACCAGTGACCGAACTTTTAAGAGGGTCCCGGACCCCAACCAACCACCGCGCCCATATTTGATCCCAATTAGGCCGAATCCACTGAACATGTCCAAAACCGAGGTTTTATGTGCTCTACTTGTAGCTAGTGGTCTCCTGAACTCATATATTATATGAATATATGATATTATATGAATTTTCATCCAGATTGGACAGAAAATGACTGAGTTATGAGCCAAAAACCATATACCCTTATTTCAGAGGTTCCTGTACAGTGACCCAGTAACGTGCCCCCTAGCTGGTTGTGAATCTCGCTTGTTCCGAGTTGAAGAGAACATGAAACATCTGAAGAATACTCTGTCCCACGACGTACGAGACTGTCATGAAAAACTGAAAAGAGTGGAAAAGCAAAACTCTGCAAAAGAACTTGAAAATGTACAAGAAAGTCAGGTAGCGGATTCTAGCGCTAAAATTAACTACTTAAAGGAACGAAACTCCAAACACTACTTCAAAAATATTGCTGAAAAATACAGCAACATGCTGGAAATTATGGAGAGGAAATACATCAAGACAAAGTCCCGACAACAACAGCTTGGACAAGAGTTTGAGGAGCTGAAGACTCTAGCCTCTGAGATGGAACTGAACCTGGAGGCATGCTCTAACGACACTATCAGGGCAGAAAACAAGGCTCAAAATGCGATGAAATCCAAGCAATATGTTGAAAGCATGCTTATCAATCGAATAAGTAACGATAAAGAAGCGTACAAGAGCCTGAAAGAAATGTACCAGAACCAGAAGAATATCATCTCGGAAATGGAGACTCAGCGATCAACCTTACAAGAATCTCTTGTCAGAAAAATTTCTTCTAATCGAAAAAAATTCCTCGCAGCCAAATTAAAGCTGGAAAACACTCTTGTAGCAGTTGGAGCCAACAAGAAAAATACATCTTCTAAGTACGACTTAAAATCAAAAGTAGGAAAATGTGGTGAGCAGAATGAGATAAAGGAGGAACTTGATGAGAGCAAGGTTGTGATAGCAGAATACCAGGAACAAATGGAAGTTTGCCAGAGTTACATCAAACAGATAGAAACTAATCTCTTAAAGCTCCGTGAGGATGTTATTATGAGGGAGGCTATTCAACGGGAATATGTGCTCTCTCTATCCAGAGAGCACCAGGCTGAACTAACTTCAATTCACGCTCACTACAAATCTCTATCTAACGCCTCATCTGATAATCTCTCTCTCAAGTCCGATGCGTACGAAACACTAAAGAAAGAGCACGACGAGATTGTCGGGGTATTGAAGGAAAAAGAGAGCTATGGAAGGTACTGGAAGGATGCAGCCAAGTTGCAGCAACATCAGGCACATGTCTTGTCTAGCGAGCTAGAGAGTTGTAGGAGTGGTAAAGTTATTGCTATTTCAGAGTACAAGCAGACAACTGAGATGCTGTTAGAGCTTATACAGGGAGTTGCTTCTAGACCTAAGGTTCGTAGTTTTATATACTTATAGTTACTAGTGTAACCCGTGCTATACTTATAGTTACTAGTGTAACCCGTGCTATACTTATAGTTACTAGTGTAACCCGTGCTATACTTATAGTTACTAGTGTAACCCGTGCTATACTTATAGTTACGAGTGTAACCCGTACTATACTTATAGTTACTAGTGTAACCCGTGCTATACTTATAGTTACTAGTGTAACCCGTGCTATACTTATAGTTACTAGTGTAACCCGTGCTATACTTATAGTTACTAGTGTAACCCGTGCTATACTTATAGTTACTAGTGTAACCCGTGCTATACTTATAGTTACTAGTGTAACCCGTGCTATACTTATAGTTACTAGTGTAACCCGTGCTATACTTATAGTTACGAGTGTAACCCGTACTATACTTATAGTTACTAGTGTAACCCGTGCTATACTTATAGTTACTAGTGTAACCCGTGCTATACTTATAGTTACTAGTGTAACCCGTGCTATACTTATAGTTACTAGTGTAACCCGTGCTATACTTATAGTTACTAGTGTAACCCGTGCTATACTTATAGTTACTAGTGTAACCCGTACTATACTTATAGTTACTAGTGTAACCCGTGCTATACTTATAGTTACTAGTGTAACCCGTACTATACTTATAGTTACTAGTGTAACCCGTGCTATACTTATAGTTACTAGTGTAACCCGTGCTATACTTATAGTTACTAGTGTAACCCGTGCTATACTTATAGTTACTAGTGTAACCCGTGCTATACTTATAGTTACTAGTGTAACCCGTGCTATACTTATAGTTACTCTAGTGTAACCCGTGCTATACTTATAGTTACTAGTGTAACCCGTACTATACTTATAGTTACTAGTGTAACCCGTGCTATACTTATAGTTACTAGTGTAACCCGTGCTATACTTATAGTTACTAGTGTAACCCGTACTATACTTATAGTTACTAGTGTAACCCGTGCTATACTTATAGTTACTAGTGTAACCCGTGCTATACTTATAGTTACTAGTGTAACCCGTACTATACTTATAGTTACTAGTGTAACCCGTGCTATACTTATAGTTACTAGTGTAACCCGTGCTATACTTATAGTTACGAGTGTAACCCGTGCTATACTTATAGTTACTAGTGTAACCCGTGCTATACTTATAGTTACTAGTGTAACCCGTGCTATACTTATAGTTACTAGTGTAACCCGTGCTATACTTATAGTTACTAGTGTAACCCGTGCTATACTTATAGTTACTAGTGTAACCCGTGCTATCTTACTATATATAAAGCGAGACGATATATATATATTTATTTATCCGTGCCATTTTACTGACACCACGGCATCAACTTTAACACGACTTTCCGCAAAAACCGTAAAAGATATACAACTGAAACTTTTTTGACTGGGTCAAATGCTTTAATGGCCTTCAAATCAGCATGAAAAAATAAAAAATTGGCCAAGAAATAGGAGTTTTAGAGCCCAAAATTTGGACCCCCAAGTGGTGTCAAAAACGCGAATTAAATAGGTAATAATTATTTTAGTCTCTTGAGTCTTGACACCACTTTAGGGTTAGACGGGTTCCTGCTAGTACTTATAGTTACTAGTGTAATCCGTGCTATACTTATAGTTACTAGTGTAACCCGTGCGTACGGTCCATTACCTAATTACATAGCAAATCTGTTATGCGGGGAGCAAGAGGGAGAGTACGTGAGACACTTTAGTATCATATTTGGGTCACAAAATGATCAATTAAAGCACTTACTACCGACCGATTTAAAAAAAAACCTCAATCATTTGGCTTCGTCAGAGTTTTGTCGGCACTATACCGAAAAAATCAGCCCTATATCTGAGTTATCTCTTACCGTTTTCTTTATGTAACCATTAGTAAATTACAGACAGACACACACACACATTTACTGAATATAGATACTATACTTATTATAGTACTATACTATACTTATAGTACTATACTATACTTATAGTACTATACTATAATTATAGCTAACTTACAAACTTTGTAATACAAAGGCTCCGGAGAAACTGTTTAATAAAATGTAAGAGCTGATCAGAGAAGATCTTTGTATTTAATTTGCTCAAATATTGAGTTTATTTTTTGTAAAATTTTAAAGAGATTAAAAAATCTCCAAATACCATGATTTAATTTGGAGTACGAAATGCTCCACATTTTCGTTCCCGGATCATTGAGGTCACCGGAATCATGTCGAATATAAATATGTCCCGCAAGATAGCTTACTTTTTACAAATAGAACATTAAAACGCCTACTTTTGTTACTTATACTCTTATACCCACTTATAACAATTATGTTCAGATTAACGGACTAAATTCAGACACTGATATTTTCATCGAAAACTTTGAGCGTAATAAACGATTTGTTGCGCAAACGTATCATATGGCAGAGTTCAATAATCAGCCAAGTGATGTTTCTGAGCACAAAAAATATGCGAATTACGCAAACCAATATAAGCAGAAACCGGATTTTCTGCACAATAATCGACTGACAGCTTACAGAGATGAAAACAATGAAAAGAATTTGTAATGCGATGTAAGTAATGTTCATTATTCACTCACTTAATCCTGCGCAAACATTTCAGTGTGATATCTCATCACTTCTACTCTATATCCCACCCTACTACACGCCTCTTCCACCCAACTACACGCCTCTTCCACCCCACTACACGCCTCTTCCACCCAACTACACGCCTCTTCCACCCAACTACACGCCTCTTCCACCCAACTACACGCCTCTTCCACCCAACTACACGCCTCTTCCACCCAACTACACGCCTCTTCCACTCTTCCCAATACTTCATGAACACGTGTTTAATACGTCAGCGAGTCAGGTAAGAGGACTGAGTGTGTTATCAGAGATTGCACAATGTACGTGTGTGAATGTAGAATAGTTTAAATATTCGCTAAAATGTTCAGTAGCATTTGTTGATATAAATTCAAGAAAATTACGCAATTTTTTTACATATTATCACAACACTGTTTTATTGATATCGTCAGCATTCTTTAAATGTCTGAATGATTTTATATTCGATCACATACGAATATAGAATTTTTCTTAACTAGCCTAAAAAAGAATGAAACTACCTTCAATTTCACACGAATGATCCTAAATCTTTCAGGTGGCCAAGAAGTTGAAGGAGGAGAAAGCGGCACATGATGCCCATATTAGGAGTGGTAACGTTTCACTACTAAAACAGATCTTCAACTCAACGAGTTCCGCAGAGTCTGAGCTAGAAACCTGCTACTCGACTATCTCCACCCTCTTTCCGGGGATTCAGCCTCACACTCTTGCTGACGTCATCAATATGACCCAGTCACGTGACCAGGAATGCAGCAGGAAGATGTCCTCCGCTCTCGAGAAATACTGGGGAAAAGTCGACAAAACCTACTCTAAACTCCACAAAAAGAGGCTGCAGTCTGATGAAGACGAAGGTGAGGACGAGGATTGGTATTTTAAGAGGTTTAAGTCAACAGATAACTCTGATGCTTATCCCAGAGGAGCGTCAAGGAGGGAAGGTAAAGCATACTACTCGAGGGTGGGGAGAGAGGACTGGTACCTATCTGGGAGAGATCGCAAGGGCCACTACTCCTACGTCAACAAACAGAGAACCAATCGTGACAACAAGAACCAGAAGTGCGAGTTGTAGAGATTATATTTATACATGTTATACATGTTATAATGATAGTGACTAACATCGTAACATGTCAACATGGCAAAAGCTAGAATTGGGACGTTATACACTAAATATAGCAACCCCCGGCTTTGCGAGAAGCGAAAAAGACTTGATGAATACACAAAACTGTAAATAAATGAGAAGTATATTATCTAGAATTTTTATTCATTTTAAGAATTCCAAATTTAACAGCTTATTTGAACTGTTAACAGCTTGTTTAGTTACTCTGCTAGTTTAAGATCGATTTTATAGAGATTGTAATTATAGTGACTAACGTGGCACTAAAAACTAGAATTGGGACGTTGTAGTGTACTTGTACACTAATTCTAAGTAACGACCTTCGGCTTTTTGAGAAACGAAAAAGACCTAATGAATATAATACAAAACTGTAAATAAATGAAAATGTCTATTATCTATTTAATATTTGGCCCCCGGAATACGGATAACAATATTTGAATTTTGATTTTTTTAAAGAATTCTCCATTTAATTATCATTAATCAATATGAATAATCATGCTAATTTAGCTGCCAAGGAAATGTCAGATTTAGATTTTATTATGGAAGCAATTATAAAGTGTATTTGAATTTTATTTCGAACTTAACATATCTAATGTCTGATTTGAAGTTGATTAAAAAGGCTCACACTCTTCTGCTTCAGAAAACAATGGTACACAAATTTTGAAAATCCGAGAAAGTTTATTTTGATCGTGCGCCCCCTATTAATATTAATATGTTTTCCATTCCACATTGTCTTGATGGCCCTGAAGGACAATTCATAACATACTAATACTACTCTTCTATTTTAACAGTAACCTTGGAGGACTTCGACGCGCCGCGCAAACTATCATTTTTACTTCGCATCGTTGCTTTGTTAATTCACAGAGCAACGATCTGGAAGGGTTGACATCGCCAATCAAACAGTACCCCTAACCTTGATTCATGATTGACGATGTCAACCCTCCACAGCGGCCCAATGTTACTAGGCCAATCCCTGCATGAGAGAAGTAGACTAGCAAGCTAGGTAAGGCTCAGTAGTTTGTAGTTTATAACCTACCAGGACGCACGCCGAGTTGGATTCGTCGACGGTAATATTTGACACAAATATTTTACGAGTATCACCCGTTATTAACCCAGTTAGTAGTGCATCGCGCTGCAAACCCTAACTTAATACTAATAGTAATACCGTTGCTCTATCCAGAGCCCTTGCGCTTGCAGTAGCGCGCGCCCGCCTCACAAGCGCGCCCGCAGTGGCGCGAAAGCACATGGTTAGTTGAAGGCTTTAGTTAGAGCAACATTATTTAAAACAATAAGTAAAAGTTTACCGGGCACAAAAATAAAGCTAAACTCTTATCCTGTCTCCGGGCTATATCGCTACTGGAAAAATTTCATGCGGGCTATATGAATATCAGCGGGCTGCGAAATATCAGGCCTTCTAACTAGCGGGCCTGCTGTCAATTCATGTCAATTCATCGCAGCTCGGCCGCGATGCCCAGTAGGCGTAGCGCTAAGCGCATTTTGTTGATTCACGATGTCAATCCTTCGCATTTCGCCGATCTGCACCATCTGTGGTTGCGAGAAGATGCGCGGCGCGGCCATTGTAGGTTTATAACCTACCAGGACGCGCGCCGAGTTGGACTCGTCGACGGTCCTAATATATGTAACAAATATTTTACGAGTATCACCCGTTAACGCGGCCCAGTATAGTTTGACCATTGTTAATGATCTGGCCCGGCGCGCGCTACTTCATAGCACTTGCCATCGGGCAAGAAAGAGAAGAGAGAAGAAAGCGGCGCGCGCTACTTCGAAGAAAGTTAGACGAGTAACATCCGTCAACAGTATAGTGCATCGCGCTACAACGCATTTCGCCGATCTAGCGAGAAGCATAATTGAGTGCGCGGCCCAGTAACACTACAAGATTTTGTTTAATTTCTCGTAAGGGGTTTGGGAATGATTTACCTGGGGACCCCAGGTTATTATGTTCAATAAAGATTCGGCGGAATGATGAATGACAGGCTGAGTGCGTGCGCCCAGTAAGGAATGATTAGTTCGGTATTACTTCAACTAACCATGTGCTTTCGCGCCACTGCGGGCGCGCTTGTGTCACAAGTCAAGAAAAGCACCTATCCACGAACCCCGATGGGAAGGTTCGTGCGCGCGTGCGCAGTGCTGACAACAGCGTCTATGTAGCGCAGGTAGTCTTGGAACTTCTCCCTCCAGTATGCAGTATAACCCCTATTCAGGTTTCTATAGTGCATAGTGACAGTGTATAGGGGTTAATTAGGTATAAACTACAGTACAGCTGTACTTACACTTACATTCACAAGCATGCAAGCTCACCTGGTCCAATGAGCGGGAAACGGAGGACAAGGTATGGTGACGTCATAGTCACGTGACCTCATAAGCTCATAATCACGTGACCTCAGACCCAATCAATGATCAATTAGGTTCGGGCATGGTCAGCCCCCTGTCACCCGATCTTGAGGTGACGTACGTCACCTCGTTTACGCAATCAATGTCTGAAATGCTACACATGTCCGATATGAGGATAAAAGCGCGGGTAATTTTGGCACCACTGTACAGTGGTGCCAAAATCGTTGGGTGGGTTCATGGCTAGAGCCCTTTTTACCGCCGTGAGGCGGGCGCGCGCTACTGCAAGCGCAAGGGCTCTGGATAGAGCAAACTAAAGCCCTTTTGCGCTTGCAATGCCAATAGCGCGCGCGCGACCGCCATTCCACATTTAATTCGATCCATGGTCGGTGAAACAACAAACAAGCGCATCACGCATACGGAATAAGTAGTAAAGTAGTATAGTATAGTAGTACAGTACGCAAATGGTTAGGTGAGCCAGTCAGTAGTGCATCACTGCATCGCGCTATACTATAAAAGTTAATTGACGATGTCAATTCATGGCAGCTCGGCGCGGCACAGTAACGCATCGCGCTACAACTATAAAAGCAACAACGAAGACTTGATTGTTATTTAGTATTGCTCGCTTCCTTCACAGCTCGTTGCAGCCCAATTAATAGCGCGGCCCAATAAATAGTGCATTGATACAATTTATAAAACGTTGTTGCTTCGCGTGCATTGTCAATTGTCATGCTTGCTTTGCTTCGACGAGATCGAAGCTTTGCAAAGCAACGATCTGGAAGGGTTGGCATTGTCAATTAACGATACGAATACGCGTACGATATGACGATAAACATTTTTGATGCGCGGCCCAGTAAAGAGCATTGCCCTACAAACTACAAAGACTAAACACACAAGTAAATGATATGAAATGTGAAAATGAATGCGCAGTCCAATAGCAATAAGGGAATTGAAATCAAATTGCACAATAATTATATATTGTAAAGTCATAAAGTGTGTCAGACAAAATGCGGAATACTACGAGGTATTTTGCTTGCCACCTCATGGTTAACAATATCTGTCAAACTCTGTTTAACAAGGTTTATCACTATTTCTGAATACTTTAACAAAATGTGACTGACACTTGTGACTGACACAAAATACCAAATAAATTAACAGTACGAGATGAATCATTATTCGACACAATGCACAATGAAAATGGAGTAGTGTGACTAAAAGGCTTAATTGCAGCAGAATCCAGATTGAATACGCCACTCTTCAGCACAAGCGGGAGGATTGCAACTCCTGCTAACTGTATTGATACAATCCACGTCACATCCTGTTGAGTGTTGGGATATTAATGTGGTTATGATAATTCAATAAATCTGGCATATCGATGATTTTGTAAGTAAAGATATTAATATTTTTTCTCATTCCCAAATACAGCATTAAAATACAAATTTTCAAGTGCTAACCCGAAATATCCTGCCATCCAGTGCACTCACACAATTTTAGATCATCAGGAGCTTCTGGACCTGATGAGGTGAACAGGTAAGGCTCACAGAAACACTCCTCTGTGAGGTGACAGGTGAATAGGCAGTACTAACTGGTGGGACGGTATTGGTAAGGCTCACAGAAACACTCCTCTGTGAGGTGACAGGTGAATAGTCAGTACTAACTGGTGGGACGGTATTGGTAAGGCTCACAGAAACACTCCTCTGTGAGGTGACAGGTGAATAGTCAGTACTAACTGGTGGGACGGTATTGGTAAGGCTCACAGAAACACTCCTCTGTGAGGTGACAGGTGAATAGTCAGTACTAACTGGTGGGACGGTATTGGTAAGGCTCACAGAAACACTCCTCTGTGAGGTGACAGGTGAATAGTCAGTACTAACTGGTGGGACGGTATCGGTAAGGCTCACAGAAACACTCCTCTGTGAGGTGACAGGTGAATAGTCAGTACTAACTGGTGGGACGGTATTGGTAAGGCTCACAGAAACACTCCTCTGTGAGGTGACAGGTGAATAGTCAGTACTAACTGGTGGGACAGTATTGGTAAGGCTCACAGAAACACTCCTCTGTGAGGTGACAGGTGAATAGTCAGTACTAACTGGTGGGACGGTATTGGTAAGGCTCACAGAAACACTCCTCTGTGAGGTGACAGGTGAATAGTCAGTACTAACTGGTGGGACGGTATTGGTAAGGCTCACAGAAACACTCCTCTGTGAGGTGACAGGTGAATAGTCAGTACTAACTGGTGGGACGGTATTGGTAAGGCTCACAGAAACACTCCTCTGTGAGATGACAGGTGAATAGTCAGTACTAACTGGTGGGACGGTATTGGTAAGGCTTACAGAAACACTCCTCTGTGAGGTGACAGGTGAATATTCAGTACTAACTGGTTGGACGGTATTGGTAAGGCTCACAGAAACACTCCTCTGTGAGGTGACAGGTGAATATTCAGTACTAACTGGTTGGACGGTATTGGTAAGGCTCACAGAAACACTCCTCTGTGAGGTGACAGGTGAATAGTCAGTACTAACTGGTGGGACGGTATTGGTAAGGCTCACAGAAACACTCCTCTGTGAGGTGACAGGTGAATAGTCAGTACTAACTGGTGGGACGGTATTGGTAAGGCTCACAGAAACACTCCTCTGTGAGGTGACAGGTGAATAGTCAGTACTAACTGGTGGGACGGTATTGGTAAGGCTCACAGAAACACTCCTCTGTGAGGTGACAGGTGAATAGTCAGTACTAACTGGTGGGACGGTATTGGTAAGGCTCACAGAAACACTCCTCTGTGAGGTGACAGGTGAATAGTCAGTACTAACTGGTGGGACGGTATTGGTAAGGCTCACAGAAACACTCCTCTGTGAGGTGACAGGTGAATAGTCAGTACTAACTGGTGGGACGGTATTGGTAAGGCTCACAGAAACACTCGTCTGTGAGGTGACAGGTGAATATTCAGTACTAACTGGTTGGACGGTATTGGTAAGGCTTACAGAAACACTCCTCTGTGAGGTGACAGGTGAATAGTCAGTACTAACTGGTTGGACGGCATCGGTAAGGCTCACAGAAACACTCCTCTGTGTCCCTCCATTGATGAATTCCGTTCCCCTGGTCTGGCTGAAGATCGCATATTCCTATATCGTACCACTGTCCACACTTTTCTTCTTTACAGTGCTTCCCGTCTGTAGAGGTAGTAAAATTATATATCGTACTATCTATATATTAGATATAAGGCTAATAAAATGATGCACTCACCAGGTACACATCTGATATACACAGTGATGGAGCACTCACCAGGTACACATCTGATATACACAGTGATGGAGCACTCACCAGGTACACATCTGATATACACAGTGATGGAGCACTCACCAGGTACACATCTGATATACACAGTGATGGAGCACTCACCAGGTACACATCTGATATACACAGTGATGGAGCACTCACCAGGTACACATCTGATATACACAGTGATGGAGCACTCACCAGGTACACATCTGATATACACAGTGATGGAGCACTCACCAGGTACACATCTGATATACACAGTGATGGAGCACTCACCAGGTACACATCTGATATACACAGTGATGGAGCACTCACCAGGTACACATCTGATATACACAGTGATGGAGCACTCACCAGGTACACATCTGATATACACAGTGATGGAGCACTCACCAGGTACACATCTGATATACACAGTGATGGAGCACTCACCAGGTACACATCTGATATACACAGTGATGGAGCACTCACCAGGTACACATCTGATATACACAGTGATGGAGCACTCACCAGGTACACATCTGATATACACAGTGATGGAGCACTCACCAGGTACACATCTGATATACACAGTGATGGAGCACTCACCAGGTACACATCTGATATACACAGTGATGGAGCACTCACCAGGTACACATCTGATATACACAGTGATGGAGCACTCACCAGGTACACATCTGATATACACAGTGATGGAGCACTCACCAGGTACACATCTGATATACACAGTGATGGAGCACTCACCAGGTACACATCTGATATACACAGTGATGGAGCACTCACCAGGTACACATCTGATATACACAGTGATGGAGCACTCACCAGGTACACATCTGATATACACAGTGATGGAGCACTCACCAGGTACACATCTGATATACACAGTGATGGAGCACTCACCAGGTACACATCTGATATACACAGTGATGGAGCACTCACCAGGTACACATCTGATATACACAGTGATGGAGCACTCACCAGGTACACATCTGATATACACAGTGATGGAGCACTCACCAGGTACACATCTGATATACACAGTGATGGAGCACTCACCAGGTACACATCTGATATACACAGTGATGGAGCACTCACCAGGTACACATCTGATATACACAGTGATGGAGCACTCACCAGGTACACATCTGATATACACAGTGATGGAGCACTCACCAGGTACACATCTGATATACACAGTGATGGAGCACTCACCAGGTACACATCTGATATACACAGTGATGGAGCACTCACCAGGTACACATCTGATATACACAGTGATGGAGCACTCACCAGGTACACATCTGATATACACAGTGATGGAGCACTCACCAGGTACACATCTGATATACACAGTGATGGAGCACTCACCAGGTACACATCTGATATACACAGTGATGGAGCACTCACCAGGTACACATCTGATATACACAGTGATGGAGCACTCACCAGGTACACATCTGATATACACAGTGATGGAGCACTCACCAGGTACACATCTGATATACACAGTGATGGAGCACTCACCAGGTACACATCTGATATACACAGTGATGGAGCACTCACCAGGTACACATCTGATATACACAGTGATGGAGCACTCACCAGGTACACATCTGATATACACAGTGATGGAGCACTCACCAGGTACACATCTGATATACACAGTGATGGAGCACTCACCAGGTACACATCTGATATACACAGTGATGGAGCACTCACCAGGTACACATCTGATATACACAGTGATGGAGCACTCACCAGGTACACATCTGATATACACAGTGATGGAGCACTCACCAGGTACACATCTGATATACACAGTGATGGAGCACTCACCAGGTACACATCTGATATACACAGTGATGGAGCACTCACCAGGTACACATCTGATATACACAGTGATGGAGCACTCACCAGGTACACATCTGGTATACACAGTGATGGAGCACTCACCAGGTACACATCTGATATACACAGTGATGGAGCACTCACCAGGTACACATCTGATATACACAGTGATGGAGCACTCACCAGGTACACATCTGATATACACAGTGATGGAGCACTCACCAGGTACACATCTGGTATACACAGTGATGGAGCACTCACCAGGTACACATCTGATATACACAGTGATGGAGCACTCACCAGGTACACATCTGATATACACAGTGATGGAGCACTCACCAGGTACACATCTGATATACACAGTGATGGAGCACTCACCAGGTACACATCTGGTATACACAGTGATGGAGCACTCACCAGGTACACATCTGATATACACAGTGATGGAGCACTCACCAGGTACACATCTGATATACACAGTGATGGAGCACTCACCAGGTACACATCTGATATACACAGTGATGGAGCACTCACCAGGTACACATCTGATATACACAGTGATGGAGCACTCACCAGGTACACATCTGATATACACAGTGATGGAGCACTCACCAGGTACACATCTGATATACACAGTGATGGAGCACTCACCAGGTACACATCTGATATACACAGTGATGGAGCACTCACCAGGTACACATCTGGTATACACAGTGATGGAGCACTCACCAGGTACACATCTGGTATACACAGTGATGGAGCACTCACCAGGTACACATCTGATATACACAGTGATGGAGCACTCACCAGGTACACATCTGATATACACAGTGATGGAGCACTCACCAGGTACACATCTGATATACACAGTGATGGAGCACTCACCAGGTACACATCTGATATACACAGTGATGGAGCACTCACCAGGTACACATCTGATATACACAGTGATGGAGCACTCACCAGGTACACATCTGATATACACAGTGATGGAGCACTCACCAGGTACACATCTGATATACACAGTGATGGAGCACTCACCAGGTACACATCTGATATACACAGTGATGGAGCACTCACCAGGTACACATCTGATATACACAGTGATGGATCACTCACCAGGTACACATCTGATATACACAGTGATGGAGCACTCACCAGGTACACATCTGATATACACAGTGATGGAGCACTCACCAGGTACACATCTGATATACACAGTGATGGAGCACTCACCAGGTACACATCTGATATACACAGTGATGGAGCACTCACCAGGTACACATCTGATATACACAGTGATGGAGCACTCACCAGGTACACATCTGATATACACAGTGATGGAGCACTCACCAGGTACACATCTGAACTCTTCGCAGGAATTCTTGTCACAGACTCGCGTACTCCTCCACTGATGTGTCCCGTTCTTATCGTCTCTACATTTTCCTATGTCAATCCACCGTCCGCAGGCTGAACAGTCCTCTGAAGCGTGAAACGTTTATTAAAAAGTCGAAACATTACTGACTGGTAGAAGAAGTATTACCTGGTATGACTGACTGATAGAAGAAGTATTACCTGGTATGACTGACTGATAGAAGAAGTATTACCTGGTATGACTGACTGATAGAAGAAGTATTACCTAGTATGACTGACTGATAGAAGAAGTATTACCTGGTATAACTGACTGGTAGAAGAAGTATTACCTGGTATGACTGACTGGTAGAAGGAGTATTACCTGGTATGACTGACTGGTAGAAGAAGTATTACCTGGTATGACTGACTGGTAGAAGAAGTATTACCTGGTATGACTGACTGGTAGAAGAAGTATTACCTGGTATGACTGACTGGTAGAAGAAGTATTACCTGGTATGACTGACTGGTATGACTGACTGGTAGAAGAAGCATTACCTGGCATGACTGGCTGGTATGACTGACTGGTATGACTGACTGGTAGAAGAAGTATTACCTGGCATGACTGACTGGTAGAAGAAGTATTACCTGGTATGACTGACTGGTAGAAGGAGTATTACCTGGTATGACTGACTGGTAGAAGAAGTATTACCTGGTATGACTGACTGGTAGAAGGAGTATTACCTGGTATGACTGACTGGTAGAAGAAGTATTACCTGGCATGACTGACTGGTAGAAGGAGTATTACCTGGTATGACTGACTGGTATGACTGACTGGTAGAAGAAGCATTACCTGGCATGACTGGCTGGTATGACTGACTGGTATGACTGACTGGTAGAAGAAGTATTACCTGGCATGACTGACTGGTAGAAGAAGTATTACCTGGTATGACTGACTGGTAAAAGGAGTATTACCTGGTATTACTGACTGGTAGAAGGAGTAGTACCTGGTATGACTGACTGGTAGAAGGAGTATTACCTGGTATGACTGACTGGTAGAAGGAGTATTACCTGGTATGACTGACTGGTAGAGGAAGTATTACCTGGTATGACTGGCTGGTATGACTGACTGGTATGACTGACTGGTAGAAGAAGTATTACCTGGTATGACTGACTGGTAGAAGGAGTATTACCTGGTATGACTGACTGGTAGAAGGAGTATTACCTGGTATGACTGACTGGTAGAAGGAGTATTACCTGGTATGACTGACTGGTAGAAGGAGTATTACCTGGTATGACTGACTGGTAGAAGGAGTATTACCTGGTATGACTGACTGGTAGAAGAAGTATTACCTGGTATGACTGACTGGTAGAAGGAGTATTACCTGGTATGACTGACTGGTAGAAGGAGTATTACCTGGTATGACTGACTGGTATGACTGACTGGTAGAAGGAGTATTACCTGGTATGACTGACTGGTAGAAGAAGTATTACTTGGTATGACTGACTGGTAGAAGAAGTATTACCTGGTATGACTGACTGGTAGAAGGAGTATTACCTGGCATGACTGACTGGTAGAAGGAGTATTACCTGGTATGACTGACTGGTAGAAGAAGTATTACCTGGTATGACTGACTGGTAGAAGGAGTATTACCTGGTATGACTGACTGGTAGAAGAAGTATTACCTGGTATGACTGACTGGTAGAAGGAGTATTACCTGGTATGACTGACTGGTAGAAGGAGTATTACCTGGTATGACTGACTGGTATGACTGACTGGTAGAAGGAGTATTACCTGGTATGACTGACTGGTAGAAGAAGTATTACTTGGTATGACTGACTGGTAGAAGAAGTATTACCTGGTATGACTGACTGGTAGAAGGAGTATTACCTGGCATGACTGACTGGTAGAAGGAGTATTACCTGGTATGACTGACTGGTAGAAGAAGTATTACCTGGTATGACTGACTGGTAGAAGGAGTATTACCTGGTATGACTGACTGGTAGAAGGAGTATTACCTGGTATGACTGACTGGTAGAAGAAGTATTACCTGGTATGACTGACTGGTAGAAGGAGTATTACCTGGTATGACTGACTGGTAGAAGGAGTATTACCTGGTATGACTGACTGGTCGTTATCACAGCATGTACTGGTCACATTGCGCACTTGTTCCTGACAGTAATTGGGACTGCAGACTCTCCACTCCTCCTGCACACACCCACTCTCATCAAGAACACACGATACTCCTACCCACTTCCCGCAGTTACAATCTTCTTCTTCTTCTTCGTCTCCCCATGTTTCTTCCTTTTCTTCCTCTTTGTTGTCTCCTCCTTCTCTAACGCCTGTGGAGATGCTTGTCGAAAACTAGTCCTCCTCAATCCAAATTTATATTAATTTTTCCTAACTATGGAGCCAGATCCCTAAAATTTCATTTCCAACTTCGATTAGGACAAACTTATTATTTTAAAGATTTAAATCTCATGTCAATATGTTGAAGCTGAGAAATTAAATAAAGTTACCATATACACAGGGGGCCGGGGGGGGGGGGGGGGGGGGGCTCAGTCGCTGAGTGCCCGACTGAGATAACTATTTTTGGTATGACTTGCAATCACCACTCATTCGAGGAATACATCAAATCAAAGAATATTCGTGTTAATCTTTTTCCGAATGAAGGCTCATTTTTGCATTTATTTGTCTAACCAAGTTGTATTGAATTAGCTTTCGAATCTCGGATGACCGAGATATGAAGCATAACGGGGTTATCCTTTACGTGTGATCAGGTAATTCGGTTCAAACTAGATCTGCATTATAAGAATCGTGCAGAGAGTCCAATTATGGTGTCGCAGCACGCTATCACATGATTAGTGATTGGATAATCATTGATTACCCAATCAATTTTGCTAAAGAGATAAATAAATTGCTTGATAACTTCGTCATTTTAAATTCGGTTTACACCATCCTTTCAGATTATATCCCGGATTTTATGACCTATAGTAATATGTTACAACGGAGTCTTTAACATATTCACAAACACGAGTATAAGCAATTCAATTTGATTGGGTGTGCCCCCAAAAATCAAATTTTGAAATTCAAACCCTCGAATGAGTAGTGACAGTATACCATCTGCAAAGTTACAGGTCTCAAACATGAAACATGGAGGTGGTACTATAAGACCCAACGTATAGGTACTGACTTTTGCCCCCCCCCCCCTGTATTATAATATAATACCACAGCAAAGTTGAGCGATTGGTTTCTCCTCCATGATATCGCACCCAGGAGTACAGTCCCTGATCATGGTAGCATCACAGGACTCCGTACACCGCCATTCAGAACATTCACACCTATCCGCGTCACAGCACAACTGTCCTATTTCCTTCTCCTCCTCCCTCTCGCACCCCTCCGCACAGTTCCTGATCATAGTCCCGTCACACGTGTCCGCACACTGCCAGTCCGTGCACGTGCAAACAGGCTCAACAGAACAGCAGGGCTGGGCTATAGGTTTCTCCTCAATATCGCACTTGTTCTCGCAGGTCCGGATCATGGTAGCGTCACATGACTCTTTACATTCCCACTCTGTGCACGTGCAAGGTGGCTTGTCTAAACAGCAGTTATCTTTCGTAAACCGTGCCTGAAAATGAGAGAGATAAACCAACATTACCTCAATATCACACCCAGGAGTAGGACCACCTTACCTCAATATCACACCCAGGAGAAGGACCACACTTACCTCAATATCACACCCAGGAGTAGGACCACACTTCCTAGTGTAGGTGTTATCACACTCTTCGTCACATTCCCACTCCGAGCAAATGCAGTTTACTGAAACATTCTCAGTATCAAGCTTCAACCTACCAAAATAATGATATTACCTTATCAGTTACCTTATCAGTTACCTTATCAGTTACCTTATCAGTTACCTTATCAGTTACCTTATCAGTTACCTTATCAGTTACCTTATCAGTTACCTTATCAGTTACCTTATCAGTTACCTTATCAGTTACCTTATCAGTTACCTTATCAGTTACCTTATCAGTTACCTTATCAGTTACCTTATCAGTTACCTTATCAGTTACCTTATCAGTTACCTTATCAGTTACCTTATCAGTTACCTTATCAGTTACCTTATCAGTTACCTTATCAGTTACCTTATCAGTTACCTTATCAGTTACCTTATCAGTTACCTTATCAGTTACCTTATCAGTTACCTTATCAGTTACCTTATCAGTTACCTTATCAGTTACCTTATCAGTTACCTTATCAGTTACCTTATCAGTTACCTTATCAGTTACCTTATTGTATCGTATTTTATCAGATGCCATCGTGGAGTAGGTGGTCTCCTGCACCTTTTTCCCCTTGACATAAAAGAAAAAACCTAGACATGCAACCTGCAATCCGAAAGTGATTGCAGCCCTTACGGAAGACTATAAGGTGTTCATGCTTTTATTAATGATACATAATGATAGCTTGTAAACCCCAGAAGTTTCCAGTATCGTTATGGATCGTAACACTTACTGAGCCTGGTGACACAAAGCCAAAAGCTGCATGCTGGGACCGGCTTAAAATTTTTAAAGAAACGAATGGTCTTCGTATCATTCATTCCTGTAGATTTGAGTGCGGAAGGGCGGCGAAAATTTATATCGACTCTGCACAGTTGTGAAGTGAAAGTGCATACTATTATACTCATAGTGGTAGTTAAATGGATGGAAATGTAATATTATTCTATTAGTAATGCTGTAGCCCAAGGTATATGTTTGACCCCATGTGGTGTAAGTCATCTGATAGACACGTTATAGACACGTGAAACATCAAAAAACAAGAGGCCGAAATTGGAAGCGATAATTATCGAACTAAATAGATACCGAGAAACGGTAAATATGCACAGGGAAGGGGTATAATATATCAGTTACCTTAATGGTTCAAATAATAATAACTGTGTTAAATTTAATTGTGCACAGTATAAGCCGCGCTAATTAATCGTGCACAGTATAATAAGTCGCGCTAATTAATCGTGCACAGTATAAGCCGCGCTAATTAATCGTGCACAGTATAAGCCGCGCTAATTAATCGTGCACAGTATAAGCCGCGCTAATTAATCGTGCACAGTATAATAAGCCGCGCTTATTAATCGTGCACAGTATAAGCCGCGCTAATTAATCGTGCACAGTATAAGCCGCGCTAATTAATCGTGCACAGTATAAGCCGCGCTAATTAATCGTGCACAGTATAAGCCGCGCTAATTAATCGTGCACAGTATAAGCCGCGCTAATTAATCGTGCACAGTATAAGCCGCGCTAATTAATCGTGCACAGTATAATAAGCCGCGCTTATTAATCGTGCACAGTATAAGCCGCGCTAATTAATCGCGCACAGTATAAGCCGCGCTAATTAATCGTGCACAGTATAAGTCGCGCTAATTAATCGTGCACAGTATAATAAGCCGCGCTAATTAATCGTGCACAGTATAAGCCGCGCTAATTAATCGTGCACAGTATAATAAGCCGCGCTAATTAATCGTGCACAGTATAAGCCGCGCTAATTAATCGTGCACAGTATAAGCCGCGCTAATTTGAACCGGTAAAAATGACTTATCCGGGCACCCTGTTAGTCAGTACTAATATATAATATAAAGGATAACTTATAACCAAGAATAAGTTAACAATAATAGGTGAGCTGCTAAAACATACTGCATTTTGGATCGTCGGGAGGGATAAAGGGACATTTAACTGCTATCTCGAAGAGCTTTCCGCACTCCCTGTTGTCTAACATGAGCCCATTCTCGCACAAACACATTCTGAATCTGGGTCTTGTTTTCATTACACAGGTTATATCTCCGCAGTCAGGGTTACTCCACTCGCTCCAACCTGGGTATTGCACGTTAGTCACTAAATAAATCAGCAACTGTGAAGCATATCTAAAGTTTGCAGGAGACAGAGTGCAAAAGTTACAAGATAAGATTAAGAAATTCTGTACTCTGATTATCTCTGATTTTGCAGGAGTAGCTATACTCGAGTCTATACTCGACTGTCACATGACTTAACACGTTTTCTAGGTGGCCCTGAATGACTATTCGAAACCCTCTCATCTGACCCTAACCCAATCCCTAACTGAAACACATGCTTTAACTCTAACTCTAACTTTAAATTTTCGCCGATATCTTCGCCGATATTTTTAACCTTATGTCATGGGGGTGATTCGGAATCAGCATTTCAAAAATACATCGATTGAAGTTGGTTTCAAATTTTTTTTAAATCTCGAAGTTCGAGTGTAGAGAGATTTAGTTTTACACTCCGTAAAACTAAATAGCAAAATCTCACAAGCAGCTTATGTCGAGGAGCCATAAAATTGTCAGACGTCAATCTTGTGAGGATTAATGCCCTAATCTTGAGAGGATCAATGCCTTAATCCAAGCCAGAAATTGACTGAAGAGTTTCGGCTCATTGTATCAACGGAAGCATCTGATTTTTACATAGACTACATATTATAGCAGATTATAACACTTACCTTTGCTGCAGGTTTTTTCCATTTGGTAGCTAGTACCATTAGCACACTTGCTCCTGTCAAGATCCTGTCTATTTGTTTCGTCAGTGCAGGCACAATCTCTGTCTTGTCGCTGGTTGCAAGTGTTGTCACATCCTGACCACTCCCCCCAACTTGTCACATCATCTAGTGAGCTTTATATCAGAGTGTCACAAATCACAATGACTGTTTAACAAAAATAAGCAAATGAAGATTAAGCTGTTAAAGTGGCACTCACATGGTAACAAGTAACCATGGCAACTCACATGGTAACAAGTAACCATGGTAACTCACATGGTAACAAGTCACTATCGTAACTCACATGGTAACAAGTCACTATCGTAACTCACATGGTAACAAGTAACCATGGTAACTCACATGGTAACAAGTAACCATGGTAATTCACATGGTAACAAGTCACTATCGTAACTCACATGGTAACAAGTAACCATGGTAACTCACATGGTAACAAGTAACCATGGTTACTCACATGGTAACAAGTCACTATCGTAACTCACATGGTAACAAGTAACCATGGTAACTCACATGGTAACAAGTAACCATGGTTACTCACATGGTAACAAGTCACTATCGTAACTCACATGGTAACAAGTAACCATGGTAACTCACATGGTAACAAGTAACCATAGTAACTCACATGGTAACAAGTAACCATGGTAACTCACATGGTAACAAGTAACCATGGTAACTCACATGGTAACAAGTCACTATCGTAACTCACATGGTAACAAGTAACCATGGTAACTCACATGGTAACAAGTAACCATGGTAACTCACATGGTTTGGCAGCGCATTCCTCCTCTCGTGTTGCAGAGCCACCCAGATATCCACATTTGTCCTGTGCCTCGCTGCCCTCCCACTGTATACCTCTATTTGCTTGACAGCAACAGGACCTACGAGCTATTGCAAGAGAGGCTGCACATGTTGGCTCCTCTGAAGTGCACCCGCCCTCCCACGGTCCCCACACTGCCAGGGAACACTCTATATAATAGTAACAAGTAACCACGGTCCCACACTGCCAGGGAACACTCTATATAATAGGCAACTACTCTCAATTCTCAGATACAGTTCAGTTATCAGATCTGCAAACTAATTACTCAAGGGAAACGAGGTGTATAGACTATAGAATACAAGTTGTTACCCTAACAGTGGAGGATTTAAAAAGAGAACCTGTCGGGCAGGTCTCTGTTTAAAAAGAGAACCTGTCGGGCAGGTCTCTGTTTAAAAAGAGAACCTGTCGGGCAGGTCTCTGTTTAAAAAGAGAACCTGTCGGGCAGGTCTCTGTTTAAAAAGAGAACCTGTCGGGCAGGTCTCTGTTTAAAAACAACAAGTAACCATGGTAACAAGTAACCTGTCGGGCAGGTCTCTGTTTGAAAAGAGAACCTGTCGGGCAGGTCTCTGTTTGAAAAGAGAACCTGTCGGGCAGGTCTCTGTTTAAAAACAACAAGTAACCATGGTAACAAGTAACCTGTCGGGCAGGTCTCTGTTTAAAAAGAGAACCTGTCGGGCAGGTCTCTGTTTAAAAAGAGAACCTGTCGGGCAGGTCTCTGTTTAAAAACAACAAGTAACCATGGTAACAAGTAACCTGTCGGGCAGGTCTCTGTTTGAAAAGAGAACCTGTCGGGCAGGTCTCTGTTTAAAAAGAGAACCTGTCGGGCAGGTCTCTGTTTAAAAACAACAAGTAACCATGGTAACAAGTAACCTGTCGGGCAGGTCTCTGTTTGAAAAGAGAACCTGTCGGGCAGGTCTCTGTTTGAAAAGAGAACCTGTCGGGCAGGTCTCTGTTTAAAAACAACAAGTAACCATGGTAACAAGTAACCTGTCGGGCAGGTCTCTGTTTAAAAAGAGAACCTGTCGGGCAGGTCTCTGTTTAAAAAGAGAACCTGTCGGGCAGGTCTCTGTTTAAAAACAACAAGTAACCATGGTAACAAGTAACCTGTCGGGCAGGTCTCTGTTTAAAAACAACAAGTAACCATGGTAACAAGTAACCTGTCGGGCAGGTCTCTGTTTAAAAAGAGAACCTGTCGGGCAGGTCTCTGTTTAAAAAGAGAACCTGTCGGGCAGGTCTCTGTTTAAAAACAACAAGTAACCATGGTAACTCACCTGTCGGGCAGGTCTCTGTTTGAAAAGCTTCTCCATCACAGTTACTTTCCAAGTGGACCCCAGTGTCGTCCTGACACCCGCACTTTCTATATCTCTTCCTCTTACAAGTGAACACGTCGCAGTCACTCCAACTCTCCCATTCTTCCCACTCATCTGATTTGAATAACCATAATATTGGAAATATAATAACAATATTTGAAAGTATTCATATTCTATACAAAATGCTAGTTGGCTTTTAATTTGTTTGGAAAACAAAATAGGATATTTTTCTGCAAACAGTCCATAGGACTGAAAAAATGATTAATAAGCTTTCGGTTCAAAAGAATTAAACTCTAAATCATCCAAATTGCAATCAGTTTGGATGAGAGTTTAATTCTTTCGAACCGAAAGCTTATTAATTATTTTCTAAGTTAGTCGACGGTCGATTTAGATTAACAACATGACACAGTGCTCCTTTATAATAGCAAATTTAGTCGCAGTAAACTTGGTTTAAAACAATTGAAATAATAAATGTGACTAAATTTATGGTAGACTTGATGCGTCGTTTTTAGGATAATCCATGTCTGGCTCGATACATTTGCAAGGTAGGAGGACAGGTTTGCTCTAGTAGAAGTTGGGGTTTTGTACTCACATTGCAAGGTAGGAGGACAGGTTTGCTCTAGTAGAAGTTGGGGTTTTGTACTCACATTGCAAGGTAGGAGGACAGGTTTGCTCTAGTAGAAGTTGGGGTTTTGTACTCACATTGCAAGGTAGGAGGACAGGTTTGCTCTAGTAGAAGTTGGGGTTTTGTACTCACATTGCAAGGTAGGAGGACAGGTTTGCTCTAGTAGAAGTTGGGGTTTTGTACTCACATTGCAAGGTAGGAGAACTGGTTTGCTCTAGTAGAAGTTGGGGTTTTGTACTCACATTGCAAGGTAGGAGGACAGGTTTGCTCTAGTAGAAGTTGGTGTTTTGTACTCACATTGCAAGGTAGGAGGACAGGTTTGCTCTAGTAGAAGTTGGGGTTTTGTACTCACATTGCAAGGTAGGAAGACAGGTTTGCTCTAGTAGAAGTTGGGGTTTTGTACTCACATTGCAAGGTAGGAGGACAGGTTTGCTCTAGTATAAGTTGGGGTTTTGTACTCACATTGCAAGGTAGGAGGACAGGTTTGCTCTAATAGAAGTTGGGGTTTTGTACTCACATTGCAAGGTAGGAGGACAGGTTTGCTCTAGTAGAAGTTGGGGTTTTGTACTCACATTGCAAGGTAGGGGGACAGGTTTGCTCTAGTAGAAGTTGGGGTTTTGTACTCACATTGCAAGGTAGGGGGACAGGTTTGCTCTAGTAGAAGTTGGGGTTTTGTACTCACATTGCAAGGTAGGAGGACAGGTTTGCTCTAGTAGAAGTTGGGGTTTTGTACTCACATTGCAAGGTAGGAGGACAGGTTTGCTCTAGTAGAAGTTGGGGTTTTGTACTCACATTGCAAGGTAGGAGGACAGGTTTGCTCTAGTAGAAGTTGGGGTTTTGTACTCACATTGCAAGGTAGGGGGACAGGTTTGCTCTAGTAGAAGTTGGGGTTTTGTACTCACATTGCAAGGTAGGAGGACAGGTTTGCTCTAGTAGAAGTTGGGGTTTTGTACTCACATTGCAAGGTAGGAGGACAGGTTTGCTCTAGTAGAAGTTGGGGTTTTGTAGTCTCCTCACAAGCTCCTTCATGCCAGCTAGGTTTACACGCACAACGGGGGGCTGTGACACTTGTTACACTGCTGTCACATGTTTTTCTGCCCACTTCACAATGGGTGGATATCCCTTGCATCCATATGCATTTACCTAAGTTGCCATGGTTACCATAATATGGTGGTCATATCTTAACATTATATTACTATTAGTTGTATAGGTTCTGAAGATTATAACATAGGTTCTGAAAATGATCACGAATCTTTATGACATTGACTTTAAGTTGAGGTCACAATTTAATTCTTCTTGAAAAAATAAACAGACTCACATTCACCGTACGGAACCAGTGGACAATCTGTAACGTCCCTAATGTACATATCCCCTTCACACCTGCAATAGTTACCTTAGTTACATTTTAATATCTATTATTAGATATCATTAGAATTTGTAACCATTTATTTCTTCTTACCTGTTGACAGTGGCGGAATGCACCCATGTGACCCCCCGACCGTTTTGCCTACCCCCTGGCAGCATTTTTTAACCCAACTATTTTTTCGCGAGTTTTTTTTTTCTTTTAAAATACTGACTGTAATTGTTACCTGCTATTTCCAATGTTTTTAAGACCGGGATTGAGTTTGCAGCCACATTGCCTAAATTCATTGGTTTTTATCACACACTGGTTTCGTTTCTGTTTTGGACACGGTTTTCTCATCCAGTCACCCCATTCTGAAGATTTATAATTAACTTGTTAGTGACTAACAAGTAACAGTGATACTGATGATTATTTGTGTAGTCTCTAACTATAGTTAGTTAGCGAGAGTCTCCACTTAGTGTTTCAAAACAATTAGTTGTCTACGTTTCGGCAACACGCCTTTGTCATAGACAGGACGTTACGTTAACTAACATAGCTGCAATTTACAATGTTAAAATAATCTATCAATACCATGAAATATTACAAAAAAAATCTATACAATTACAAAAATCAACAAGCATTGCTTGTTGATTTTTGTAATTGTATAGATTTTTTTTGAATCTGAAATAACTACAAAATAACTACAAATTTATTACAGAAAATCTATACATTTCAATTATTATTATCGCACTGGTAGCATTAATTGCTGTCACTCTGTTTATTGCATTTTGTTTGCTGTAAACTAGATCTTGTTAATGCTTCCATAAGACGTTGTCCTGATGTAAATGTTACTCTGGTGGAATCCAAGAGGGTTTGATTTCTTAGGGTATAGTAGACTTTTCGACACGTTTGTTCGTTAATATAAGGCAATGATAAGTAAGCAATTTTATAGTTCTTTTTAGGTGCATCTTGTTTATCCTGTGTATTTTACTTTACTTTACTTTACTTTACTTTACTTTTAGTTTATTGACAATAGTAGGAGGGAAACTATTACTCTTCAGTTATTAAAGTTGACCTCGGTCGGTTTTTCATTCTTTGTACAAGAAGATGGGTCGAAAAGATCATGTTGAGTTCACTGAGGAGCTGGTATTTACAAATGGAGGAACGAAAAAGGAACTGTCATCGTTTTTGTTCGAAATTGTCAATTGTTCGGTGGATTTGATAAAGTTGCTGAAAAGTGGATGTTTAGAAGTAGATTCGTTGAATCGGAAGCGAAACTATCAAAGAACTAGCTGAGGTCCAGAGTGAGCTACTGGATAGCAAAAGGGAACAGATAGATATTCTTCAATCTGGTATTCAGACTACATTGAAGAAAAAACTGAAATCATACAGCGAGGCTGTTAGTGTTAAGAAGACAACTGTTGAACCAATCACTTTGAATAAAATTAAAACAGCTGTAAAAGACATTGTAGAAGATAGGAGTAAAAACCTTGTGATATTCGGTTTAGCAGCTGATGAAGATATGAAGATATTCACTCTACAATAAAGAAAACTGGTAGCAGAATTGAAAGAGGAAGCTCGAGAAACGCCAAACGAACATCATTTTATCAGGAACGGCGCAGTTTGCAGTCAAGCTAAATCAATAGAAGATGAGAACACTGTCTCGACAAGTTCAGCAATCAAAAGTAGCAGTGCAGGAGTAAGTAAGAAAAAGGAAAAGAAACCCAGACCACTTTTAGCGCATCATATAGCGTGTTATCGACGACCACCACTAGGATACGTGTCACCAGTAACAACTGACTCATCAGATTGTGATGGATAGACAATTAAAAATTTGGTCTCCCCATTTTCAAATTTGTTATTATAACTGGGTTGAATTCTGGGTGATAACACTGCTTATCTTTTAACAGCAACACATTTTCTGGGTTACACGACGATAAGGAGTTTGTTAAGTAGATACATATAACGGTTTTAATATTATTACATGGCACATTATACTTATAGGATTGAATTAATATTGTTATTAAAATGCTCATTGTAGCCATATATTTTAGATTTTCATCATCATCATACTAAAATGTGTATACTTAGTTTGATGAAAGAGCAATCTTGGTAAACTTTTGTTATTCATAATTCATTTTATTGTTCACAGTTTGGTACGTTGTAGATTCTTTTAACCGATATCTTTAGCTCTACTTTTAATCGACCCACTCATAAGAGCGAAGAAAGATTATCATTATGTAGTCTCTACTTATTGAGACCTGTTGTGCAGTCTCTACTTATTGAGACCTGTTGTGCAGTCTCTACTTATTGAGACCTGTTGTGCAGTCTCTACTTATTGAGACCTGTTGTGCAGTCTCTACTTATTGAGACCTGTTGTGCAGTCTCTACTTATTGAGACCTGTTGTGCAGTCTCTACTTATTGCTTTATTGAAACCTGTTGTGCAGTCTCTACTTATTGAGACCTGTTGTGCAGTCTCTACTTATTGAGACCTGTTGTGCAGTCTCTACTTATTGAGACCTGTTGTGCAGTCTCTACTTATTGAGACCTGTTGTGTAGTCTCTACTTATTGAGACCTGTTGTGCAGTCTCTACTTATTAAAACCTGTTGTGCAGTCTCTACTTATTGAGACCTGTTGTGCAGTCTCTACTTATTGAGACCTGTTGTGCAGTCTCTACTTATTGAGACCTGTTGTGCAGCCTCTACTTATTGAGACCTGTTGTGCAGTCTCTACTTATTAAAACCTGTTGTGCAGTCTCTACTTATTGAGACCTGTTGTGCAGTCTCTACTTATTGAGACCTGTTGTGCAGTCTCTACTTATTGAGACCTGTTGTGCAGTCTCTACTTATTGAAACCTGTTGTACAGTCTCGACTTATTGAAACCTGTTGTGCAGTCTCTACTTAATGCTTTATTGAAACCTGTTGTGCAGTCTCTACTTATTAAAACCTGTTGTGCAGTGTCTACTTATTGAAACCTGTTGTGCAGTCTCTACTAACTGAAACCTGTTGTGCAGTCTCTACTTATTGAGACCTGTTGTGCAGTCTCTACTTATTGAGACCTGTTGTGCAGTCTCTACTTATTGAGACCTGTTGTGCAGTCTCTACTTATTGAGACCTGTTGTGCAGTCTCTACTTATTGCTTTATTAACACCTGTTGTGCAGTCTCTACTTATTGAGACCTGTTGTGCAGTCTCTACTTATTGAGACCTGTTGTGCAGTCTCTACTTATTGAAACCTGTTGTGCAGTCTCTACTTATTGAAACCTGTTGTGCAGTCTCTACTTATTGAAACCTGTTGTGCAGTCTCTACTTATTGAAACCTGTTGTGCAGTCTCTACTTATTGAGACCTGTTGTTCAGTCTCTACTTATTGAAACCTGTTGTGCAGTCTCTACTTATTGAAACCTGTTGTGCAGTCTCTACTTATTGAGACCTGTTGTGCAGTCTCTACTTATTGAGACCTGTTGTGCAGTCTCTACTTATTGAGACCTGTTGTGCAGTCTCTACTTATTGAGACCTGTTGTGCAGTCTCTACTTATTGAAACCTGTTGTGCAGTCTCTACTTATTGAGACCTGTTGTGCAGTCTCTACTTATTGAAACCTGTTGTGCAGTCTCTACTTATTGAAACCTGTTGTGCAGTCTCTACTTATTGAAACCTGTTGTGCAGTCTCTACTTATTGAGACCTGTTGTGCAGTCTCTACTTATTGAAACCTGTTGTGCAGTCTCTACTTATTAAAACCTGTTGTGCAGTGTCTACTTATTGAAACCTGTTGTGCAGTCTCTACTTATTGAAACCTGTTGTACAGTCTCGACTTATTGAAACCTGTTGTGCAGTCTCTACTTATTGAGACCTGTTGTGTAGTCTCTACTTATTGAAACCTGTTGTGCAGTCTCTACTTATTGAAACCTGTTGTGCAGTCTCTACTTATTGAGACCTGTTGTGCAGTCTCTACTTATTGAAACCTGTTGTGCAGTCTCTACTTATTGAAACCTGTTGTGCAGTCTCTACTTATTGAGACCTGTTGTGCAGTCTCTACTTATTGAAACCTGTTGTGCAGTCTCTACTTATTGAAACCTGTTGTGCAGTCTCTACTTATTGAAACCTGTTGTGCAGTCTCTACTTATTGAAACCTGTTGTGCAGTCTCTACTTATTGAAACCTGTTGTGCAGTCTCTACTTATTGAGACCTGTTGTTCAGTCTCTACTTATTGAAACCTGTTGTGCAGTCTCTACTTATTGAAACCTGTTGTGCAGTCTCTACTTATTGAGACCTGTTGTGCAGTCTCTACTTATTGAGACCTGTTGTGCAGTCTCTACTTATTGAGACCTGTTGTGCAGTCTCTACTTATTGAGACCTGTTGTGCAGTCTCTACTTATTGAAACCTGTTGTGCAGTCTCTACTTATTGAAACCTGTTGTGCAGTCTCTACTTATTGAAACCTGTTGTGCAGTCTCTACTTATTGAGACCTGTTGTGCAGTCTCTACTTATTGAAACCTGTTGTGCAGTCTCTACTTATTGAAACCTGTTGTGCAGTCTCTACTTATTGAAACCTGTTGTGCAGTCTCTACTTATTGAGACCTGTTGTGCAGTCTCCACTTATTGAAACCTGTTGTGCAGTCTCCACTTATTGAGACCTGTTGTGCAGTCTCCACTTATTGAGACCTGTTGTGCAGTCTCTACTTATTGAAACCTGTTGTGCAGTCTCTACTTATTGAGACCTGTTGTGCAGTCTCTACTTATTGAGACCTGTTGTGCAGTATCTACTTATTGAGACCTGTTGTGCAGTCTCTACTTATTGAGACCTGTTGTTCAGTCTCTACTTATTGAGACCTGTTGTGCAGTCTCTACTTATTGAAACCTGTTGTACAGTCTCTACTTATTGAGACCTGTTGTGCAGTCTCTACTTATTGAGACCTGTTGTGCAGTCTCTACTTATTGAAACCTGTTGTGCAGTCTCTACTTATTGAAACCTGTTGTGTAGTCTCTACTTATTGAGACCTGTTGTGCAGTCTCTACTTATTGAAACCTGTTGTGCAGTCTCTACTTATTGAGACCTGTTGTGCAGTCTCTACTTATTGAAACCTGTTGTGCAGTCTCTACTTATTGAAACCTGTTGTGCAGTCTCTACTTATTGAGACCTGTTGTGCAGTCTCTACTTATTGAGACCTGTTGTGCAGTCTCTACTTATTGAGACCTGTTGTGCAGTCTCTACTTATTGAGACCTGTTGTGCAGTCTCTACTTATTGAAACCTGTTGTGCAGTCTCTACTTGTTGAAACCTGTTGTGCAGTCTTTACTTATTAAAACCTGTTGTGCAGTCTCTACTTATTGAAACCTGTTGTGCAGTCTCTACTTATTGAAACCTGTTGTGCAGTCTCTACTTATTGAAACCTGTTGTGCAGTCTCTACTTACTGAAACCTGTTGTGCAGTCTCTACTTATTGAGACCTGTTGTGCAGTCTCTACTTATTGAGACCTGTTGTGCAGTCTATACTTATTGAGACCTGTTGTGCAGTCTCTACTTATTGAGACCTGTTGTGCAGTCTCTACTTATTGAGACCTGTTGTGCAGTCTCTACTTATTGAGACCTGTTGTGCAGTCTCTACTTATTGAGACCTGTTGTGCAGTCTCTACTTATTGAGACCTGTTGTGCAGTCTCTACTTATTGAGACCTGTTGTGCAGTCTCTACTTATTGAGACCTGTTGTGCAGTCTCTACTTATTGAGACCTGTTGTGCAGTCTCTACTTATTAAAACCTGTTGTGCAGTGTCTACTTATTGAAACCTGTTGTGCAGTCTCTACTTACTGAAACCTGTTGTGCAGTCTCTACTTATTGAGACCTGTTGTGCAGTCTCTACTTATTGAGACCTGTTGTGCAGTCTCTACTTATTGAGACCTGTTGTGCAGTCTCTACTTATTGAGACCTGTTGTGCAGTCTCTACTTATTGAGACCTGTTGTGCAGTCTCTACTTATTGAAAACTGTTGTGCAGTCTCTACTTATTGAAACCTGTTGTGCAGTCTCTAATTACTGAAACCTGTTGTGCAGTCTCTACTTATTGAGACCTGTTGTTCAGTCTCTACTTATTGAAACCTGTTGTGCAGTCTCTACTTATTGAAACCTGTTGTGCAGTCTCTACTTATTGAGACCTGTTGTGCAGTCTCTACTTATTGAGACCTGTTGTGCAGTCTCTACTTATTGAGACCTGTTGTGCAGTCTCTACTTATTGAAACCTGTTGTGCAGTCTCTACTTACTGAAACCTGTTGTGCAGTCTCTACTTATTGAAACCTGTTGTGCAGTCTCTACTTATTGAGACCTGTTGTGCAGTCTCTACTTATTGAGACCTGTTGTGCAGTCTCTACTTATTGAGACCTGTTGTGCAGTCTCTACTTATTGAGACCTATTGTGCAGTCTCTACTTATTGAAACCTGTTGTACAGTCTCTACTTATTGAGACCTGTTGTGCAGTCTCTACTTACTGAAACCTGTTGTGCAGTCTCTACTTATTGAGACCTGTTGTGCAGTCTCTACTTATTGAGACCTGTTGTGCAGTCTCTACTTATTGAGACCTGTTGTGCAGTCTCTACTTATTGAAACCTGTTGTACAGTCTCTACTTATTGAGACCTGTTGTGCAGCCTTTTCCTTACTGAAACCTTTGTGCAGTCTTATTTAATTAGACCTTTGTCCCGCCCCTTAAAATTATTAAGACCTGTGTGCATTTTTAAACTTTTTAAAAAACCTTTTGGTCCAGTCTTCTACTTATTGAGACCTTTTGGGGGCATTTCCTTATTTTTTTTAAAACCCTTTGTTGTGCAGTCTCTTTTTATTAAAGCCCTGTTGGCATTTTTAATTTATTGAAAACCGGGTTGGGGCCACCCTTTTACTTTTTTGAAAACCTGGGGGGAAGTCTCCAAATTTTGGGGGCCCTGTTGTCCGCCCTTACTTTTTGAAACCTGTTTGCATTCTCTACTTATTAAAAGGGTTGTGCAGTGTCTCTTTTTAAAACCTGTTGTGCAGTCTCTACTTACTAAAACCCTTTTTGGTGCAGTCTCTATTTATTGAGAC